GCATGCGCCCCCCCTCCCCGCGCTGCCCTTGGCCTCCCCCCGCTTGGCCCCTCCCCAGCCTCGGCCCTGCCGGGCTGGTGGCCCTGAGACGGGGACCCCGGGGTGGGTAGGAAGGCAGAGCCGTGCTCAGGGCCACCCGGAGGCCAGGACAGCGCTGGCGCCCACCCAGCTCCCCAAAAACCAACGGGGGCTTCCAAAGCATCTCTGGGAGCCGCGGTGCAGTGTGGAGGGACAATCCCAGAGCAGGCAGGCTGGGCAATGTACACCCAGTGTATACTGCTGTATGTACACGTCGTGCAATGCATTTCCAGTGTATATTGCATATATGTACACATGTTGGACATATGCACAGTATACACCCAGTGTATATTGCATACATGTACATCTTGCATATATGTGCAGTACATATCCAGTATACATTGCATATATATGCACATATTGCAAGTATGCACAATATATATCCAGCCTATATTGCCTGTATGTAACACACATGCTGCATATATGCAGGGATTTTCTAGCTGGTTAAGAAGAAGCACCTCTGCTCGCAGCTGCTGACCAAAGATACACATGAGCTGCTTTTTGTTTTCTTTAGCATTACCACCATTTCTGTGAGGAGGGCAGAGGGGTTGGGCTGTGGCCTCCCTGCTCAACGTGTGCGGGGCCGTGGGTCGGACGTGTGGCAGGACAGGAGCAGGAGCTTCTGTGCGGCCTCCACCGTGTGCCAGGGCAGCAAAGCTGTGGCTGTGCCAGTGCTGGGGAGCACTGCCCCTGTGGGACGGGGTCTGCGGCCTTCCCACCTGCATGGGAACTGGGCAACCTGCTGGGGTCACCCCTCCCAGCGGTGCTGGGGTGGTTCAGTGCTCGCTGGCCCCATCACCACACACTGAGCAGGACTTGGTGGATGGAGAGGCACCAGGTTTCCCTGCTTTATAAATGCAAGAAGTGCTACTGTGCTCTTCTGAATCTCTGACCCCTTTTTGCTGGTGTGACCTCTGGTTTTCAAGCTGAACCTGGGCAGCTGGTGCTGCCGCCAGGGACCAGCCTGCTCCAGTTATTGGGGTGTCCCCAAACCGCACGCTCCGGGCTGGGATTTTTGCCCAAGACGGCCAAAAAGCAGAAGCGGCTGAGACGGCACGGCTGGCACTCGGAGGAGGGCAGGGGGCCCGGGGGAGCGCGGCGGGTGGGCGAGCCCGGTGCCGGGAGGCAGCCCCGCTCCATCGCCTGCGGCCGCCCTTGGGTCGTTAT